AAAAACATACACCGCTAGGTCTTGGAATACTCTTATCTGGTCGAATTATAGAATTTTACCATTACTCTTATAACTACACCCACGACCTTAAAGTGCGGAGCGCGTCTTTTGCATTAACGCATCGTGAGCCATGAAGCTCAGATTCACAGTTCGGGCATGCTAAACACTACGTCATGCCTGGCCACTACGACTATTGCATTATCTTGCAGTTAAACCTACAGTATGTAATATTTGATGGGTTGTTTAGGCAGAATATTCATAATGAATCTAAGTTTCAAAGGGACAGCAACTGCCCGTTGAAGAAACCTACAACTGTAGAGGACGACCTTTCGAAACGTCGTCCTCTACATTTGTAGGTTTCTACAACAGGCAGTTGCTGTCCATTTGAAACTTAGATTCACTACAGTATGCAGTTTTTTATGTTACAAAATGAACTGCATATATCTCATATTGTAGCATTAGGTATAGGAATAACATTTAAAACGAAACTCACGCTTCTTATAAAATCTTTGATCAAGACTTGAGTTTCGAGATCTCATATTCAGAGATTTTTTACCGATATTGTATACTTCAAGTAACTTTGATATCCACAGTGAGTTCAGACATTTGCATTCTCAAACACAATAATCATTAAGTCAAACAAGTTCAAATTTCGCAGTGTGTAACATTATATATCAATAATAAAGTTACTGCAATCACCGTGTTTTTAATTTTAATTATTCCTTCAATTTTTGTGTTAAGCGGAAATAAATTATTATTAATTATAATATACTTCTTTCTCAGATGTTATAAAAATTAACCACTTAACAAACGCGAAGTGCTATTCACAGTAATTTTTTATAAGTTCTCAACTAACTGTAAACCTAGAATATTTTTAATAACATTGTCCAGGAAAGGTTTGTTGTAGAGGCATCGCAAGGTTTTTGAAAGATTCGGAGCTCTGGCACATAGGCTCGGGAATTTTCGGCGTTTCAGTATGATATCGATCAGGATTTTCTATTCTGAGTTTTTGGGACACCAACTAGGGATTTGGGGCACTGTCAAATATAATCAGGGCACGGGCCCCGTGTGCCAGTGCCTAGAGACGCTTCTGGTTTCTTGATACAGCTACGATAACAAAATTACCATTTAATATTCTAAATGATGATCCTAGCTAATAATGTCCCTCTGTTAATAATGTTAAGAGAAACTAGAAAGTTCCTGTCCTTAGTTAACTGTAGACTTAATTCCATGTTAGTAATAACCTAACCTTTATTTTCTTTCAGAACTGTTTCTACAAGTTGACGTGATCGGATTACTCTGTCTTCGGCCTCCTTTGAAAGCTGTGGGAGTAAAAATAATAATATTTGTATTGAAGTCACGCTAAACTATACGAAAGAATTTGACCTATGACCTATCATTCTTATCATTAGTATTTAATTTTTCTACTCTTAAGAGAAAATAAATATTTTATTTGAAAATACAAGTAACTGAAACTAGACAATGCTAGAAAATATTAAACGAAGAAAATGATTATTGTTATTATGTTAATTGTACAGTTATAATAAAGTTTTTCATTACCCAGTCTCAAAACATTTATGTACTATGATCAGTTGGAATTACTATGCTACTGCCGATAAGTGTTAAACATCTGACAGAAAACGAAGCTTTCCCAAGTTGATCAAGACATAACAAAATATTATAGACTGGAATCAAATCAAATACATATATAATATCTCATCTGTTTCATACACTGATTGGACGGTTAACAGTAGTGATAATTAATCAAAATACCTGAATCTTGTAAAATCCCTTTCCAAGACGTAGTAGGTCATCGGGTCCTAGGTTATAACCATTCAAAAGAAGGACCTTGTAACAAAAGTATGATCAATTAGTGTTTTAGTAAAGTATTATTCACCTCTAATGAATATTTTGTATTTTGTGACGTATGATAGACGGTCAATGCATTTGGGATGTTTTGTTTTATTTCAATTGTGTCATAATCTCTAGTTTAAATTACACACTGGTCGATAAGATCGAACTTTTTTTCTCTCTAGTCAAAGATGTAAGCACACTTTTCTAGACCAGTTTTGCATGCTGGTTCCAAATCTGTTTCGGTTTTCTTCTAGCACATCTAGTTATCGAAATATGATTAGTGTTAATTTCAGCACAATTTAGGTAATAATCACACATCAGGCTAGTTAACGTTACAACTTTATTCAATTTGCATTATCATTCCCATAAACGTCATACACACCATACACTTGGTTAAATTTATACAGTACTTATGAAAAATGAAATGTACAACAACTTAAATTATAATTAAGGCAATAACCTTTCAAATTTGATCGGTCTCATCACGAAAACTTGACGTACTAGAGGAAAACCAAAATCAGATTTGGAATAAGCGTCCCAAGAGCTATCTAGCCCACCTATAATTATATCTGATGAGATGACTTGTTGGCCAGTGTTATTTGATTTCATTACTATGGATACGTGAATGATTAGAATAAAAATTAATGTTTCATTTATTGGTAAGTTGTATAGAATTAAAAACGATTATTTGTACATTTTTATTTTCTTGTATAATTTGGTAATTATATCATTTTTAATGTTAACTAAGTGTTTCAACCCAGGACTACCCATAATTTCATAAGTTGGTTAAACCTCGTGAGGTTTTATTAGTATTAAGATCGAAAATACTGACAACAACGAAGATATTGAAATGACTATTCAACTTAGTTCTAGTCTTCTAAGTGGCTTATATTGCACATGTATATAGTATAAGAACCCTATAAACTCGAGTGTTTAAAAAAGGCAGACTTTTTTCTCATCAAAGGCAAACTATGTTTATACACTTTTCGTTTTATGATTAATCTTCGAGACTATTCTGTAATAAAATGTATTCATTAAGATTCATATATTTAATGAATTCATCTACTTTTTTCCTTTGATTTATATACGTTTCTTTTATTGTGTTAGTGTTTACTTGAATATTACCTTAAAATTTAATATCAATGATTAACTAATCCTAGTAGATACAAAATATCACAAAATTATTGTTATCTACAATAATTATACCACACTGTAAACATATACAAAAAATATCACAAAATTATTGTTATCTACAATAATTATACCACACTGTAAACATATACAAAAAATATCACAAAATTATCGTTATCCACAATAATTATACCACACTGTAAACATACACAAAAATATCACAAAATTATTGCTATCCACAATAATTATACCACACTGTAAACATACACAAAAAATATCACAAAATTATTGTTATACCAAACTGTAAACATACTACAAAGTTTTACCAAAATTTTAAATAGAAAAGGAAAACTGAAAAACAGATGCGACTTACTTCATTTAGTGTTTCAAATCTTCCAGGACTTAAGTGACGTCAAGGTCTTTATAACCGAAACCAAATTATTAAATAGATAAAAAAAACTAAAACAAAAATTAACTTATATTGCAAACAATAACAAAATAATACAATTTATTAATCTTCTTACTGAATAAAAAAATGTTTTTATGTAAAACATGTGTTTATGAAATCTGGTAATTCATTAAATAAATACAGTCTTAAACTGTATATATAAATAGTCTAATTCTATACATAAATACAGTCTTTAATTGTACATATACAGTCTTTAACTGTATGTATAAATATAGTTTTATTATGGTATCATTACAGGTACGTAAATAGATTTATGAATTTGTTTTTAAGAACTTGAATTAACTGGTTTGACCTATTGTTTCAAACAAATACATTTTAAAGTATTTTTACGTACATAATCATCTCTATTAGACTTGATCCTATTAACAAGACTCATAATCTAATGATATACAAAGATGTCAGTGTTAATAAATGTTGAAAATTTATAGTTTTGCTATAACCACATTAATTTTTAAGAACGATTATACACACAAACAAACTCATGTGTGTATGTGTGACCTTTCTTAAAATACATAACTCGTGGCTTGTTAAAATGGATATTTTACTAACTTGTATTGGAATACTGTCTAAAGGGGGGGGGGGCTTAAGTTTGAGTTAAACGTGATATTAAACGAGGGAAAGGTTACAAATATAGACTCGCATCTTACAGGCTTGTTAAAGAAGAATCTGTTTCTCTTATAATGAATGTTGAATACAATAGATTACAATCCTAAGACAACAAATCCGGCTGATAAGTCAAAGTTCACCATTCTAATATTTTTCATTCATGTAGATTACACACTTCTTTAAAAGCCCGTTAATTGTTTATGATAAAACTAAGTGGTACAGATATGAGTGTGTGTATGTATGTATATATATTTTCTCGTAAGCCTGATATTTTAGTTTTTAACTAAATTTACATTTTATAGTTTGACCTACTAATGTAAACGCAATAAGGCTTTCTCGTAATCATAAATCAATAAAGTTTGTTGTAAGTGGCAGAATAAAAAAAAGATACATTTGTTCTGGAACATAGGATATTTCTTGCGGTCTTATCCCTGGATTGGCTCGGTCCGTCTTTAGAACTGATATAATCAAGATAAAGAGATTGAAATACGACATAAATCGAAGAAAATATAACATTCTACTGATTTAGGTATTATTTACTTTGTTACAAAGCACTTAACATTTCAGCGAAGAAGAAAATTATTGAACATAAGGGAAGTATCCTTTTAATGATTACCAGCAAACGGTTAAAATAAAATGCCTTTTAAACATTTAGTTTTCTGTTCGTTTAGACCATTTCGTTTTATATTTGCTACTTCATACTGAAATAAAGATTTTATTTCTTTGTGAAAGAGTCCAGGTACTTGTCGCTATCAAAATATTAAGAACACAAGTGTAGTGCTGCCATAGCGCTGCTTCGGCACCTGAACTTGGAGTCCCAACACTTCAAAAACTAAAAATATCTATATAAAAATGCTATTCATTTTACAATCGAAATTAAGTGTCTTTCATAAACAAACTCTCCAAATATAAGAGAACATTCAGGCTGTTTGCGATCCCCGTATCCTCTGGTAGACCTCTTTCAGCCTGTCTAGTACACACACTATCACTCTCCCTCAGAAGCTGGCGTCAGGCACCGTGAGACCACTCCGGCTCAAGAACATGTCTCAAAGCATTAACATGGTAAACGCTTGATGTATGACAAAACCATTCTAAGTGTTTATTAAGACACGAATATGGTATAAAAACAGTAAGATAAATTTTACAATTATACTGCTTATTTAAAAAGTACACATTTTAAAAAGGCTTATTATTTACGTACTATACAACAAAGGTTTTTTACTTTTTTAGCTATTCGAGTTTGATGACAGGAGGTGTACAAACCATTATAAAAAGCCAAAATTTTTAATACTGTAGTACAGTTAGAAATATAGTAATTTATCGAGATATGCATTTTTGAATTTTCTATTACTTTACATAATTTATTTATAGCTTATCAAGTAATACTTCGTGTTTTTATTATCCAGTGCTATTTTTATAACCAAAAAGAAAGAAGGAACAGGAGCCCAAAAATATAACATTTTTCATATTTCAGCAAACTCCAGCTAAGAATGATAGGAAGCGCTGTAAGTACATGAAGAGAAGATTTGGAAATTTGTGGTGATGTTGTTTTTAACATAAAAATTGTTGTTGAACGGAAATGAAGCTGAGCTCCACCACAGAAATAGGCCTGATTATTTCATTAATACAATAGGCCTAAGATAATATAAAATTGTGACAATCTGATTCTATACTATGTGGTCATCTTCATACTTTTCAATGATAAATTTTCCAGAATTACGTAGCTGACAACTGAAGCTTTTACATTTAAAAAAATGTTTTAGATTACCCGTTTTTCCTAAATATCAAGTACTAATTTTTGAGTTTTTTACAGTTAAGAAAAAAATGTAATAAACTGTTAAAATATATGAAATCGAAGCTTTAATAATTTTCGAACTTTCCTTGTTCTCCTGTTTGTTTCCTTTTGCTTCAAAGTGATATTTAATTTTGGAGCTTAAGTCTCATATGTTTTAAAAAGCTCTTTTGTCTAAATATGCCGAATATTTTATCTCCAAAGATCTGTTTCTTTGTTGAATTTTGCGCAAGGCTACTCGGGGCTATTCATTCTAGCAGTCCCTAACTTTGAAGTGTTAGGTTATAGGAATGGAATCTAGTTAATACCACACACCATCATCTGTTGGGCTGCTCTTGTTAGATCGAATAGTAGGATCTGACAGCTAATCTTATAACGCACTCACAGCCACTCTGTGCGGTGTGCGATTTTTCTTTTCGATGGCAAAAGGGCGTGAACGTCAAAACCTCAGATCTTCAGTCCAGTACAATAAATATTAAACTGCGCTTGCCTCAGCCTGTAAAAGAACACCAAGGAACATGTTTGCAAAATATTAACATTTTGTATAGGTGGCTTTGTTTTACCAGTAGTTTATTGTACAGGAACAATATGTAAATACTGGAACAGTCTTAAAATGCAAATTCACTTGAATTTCTCTCTTTGTTTATAATAAACAAATAACGAAGAGATTGGCAGAATCATTTCAATCATGATAAGGCTTGTGTAGAACTATATACTATAAATGATTTCTTATGTGCGACAAGCATCGCACGTTTTGTCCACTAACAAATCAGACAAATCCAAGCTTGTGAATTAGTGCTTTCGTATGCGCGATTATCGCATGTTTTGTTCACTAACAAAGTATACAAAAACAATAATTTCTATGAATTATTTATGAAAAAAAAATTCTATTCTATAACTTCACTTATTTCATCCTACTTCGTTGAATTATCATTATGAATTTGTAATAATTTAGTTTCTAAACCTCCAAAGCTATATATTTACGAACCTAATGTTAAGTTTTACCGAGTTTTAATTTTCAGTTTATATGTATACCGTAATAAGTAACGGAATATGACACAACTTGAAATATTATAACAGTAACCATATATCGACAGCTTCTGAACGATTAAGATAAGTATGTAAATTACAAAAATTGAATACAATAGCCGTGTGGTCTCACTTAATTATGTTCAGTAAATACATAAAATTTAGAAATGATTGTTATTGTGAAGTTATTATAAATAAATGTTGAAATAAATATTAACATATAAACAAAATACATGTTAAAATAAATATTAACACATAATGATCAATTATTGAAACAAGAAACAAAATTTAACAATATTTTATGCAAAAACGTAGTTTCATTATTAAGCCTATTTCATATAATTTGTTATTATTTGGTCATAAAACTTTGTCTAGAATAATTTCTTATAAATTATGAGTCATAGTTATTTAAAATAATTTTTATTTGTTTTCAGCATTACTGGTTTCTTCTTTTATTCCCCAAATTAAAAATTCAAATTTCTAATAGCATCTAAAAGATAATTCTGTGAAGATATACACTTTCATTCTTATTGGTAAAATTTCTTTGTTTGAAGTTAAGCACAAAACTACACAATGGGCTATCTGTGCTCTGCCCACCACAGGTATCAAAACCCGGTTTCTAGCGTTGTAAGTCCGCAGACATACCGCTGTGCCACTGGAGGGCTATTGGTAAGCGTTACAGAAGTTGATAAAATCTAAATGTTTTCTCTGTGCTTTTATTGGGCGAAATGTTACAGTGGTCAACTTTAGATGATAAAATAATTTAGTACATAAGGGAGATGGCTAAGGAAATCATAAACAAATACAATTAGACATATAAGTGTGTAAAGTTAACTAATAAAACTAAATTAAGAATGAACAGTCAGACACTTAACCTTTCTCACCAGAACTATCAAATTACACTAACTTTGCAAAAAATGTCTTCAGATTTTTTTATGCCTTCACTTCAGCCAAATCAGTAATTAAAACCTTTCATCGCAACTTTTCCCATGAAATAAGTCGTGGTAAACATGTTTTTATTACATTCCTATTAAACAGATTATAGATTTTAGTTTCAAGGGGTAGTTAATGGTCAGTAAGTGCTTTAAGTTGATCTAGAATTATCGATGAAACCTATCTATATCCGTCGGATTTTTCGACACATATTTTTTAAACTGTTTATGCAACACATGACTTTATTCGTTTCTAAGAACATATTAAACAGTATTACATAAAAATATTAACCAAAATATCGCTATCAAGCATTCTCACTTATTATTAGTGTGGTTTCCTGTGTATTTTACGTAGAAAAGAAAATATTGCATCAGTTCTTTAAACTGCGTGTTATAAAAGGCAGAAACATAAAATTACTCAATATTATGATGTATATGGACTCCATCAGTGGTGAATGGTAACTTGAGGGCTAAAAATGTATTTTCTTTTACATAATGTCATTATATATATATATATATATATTGTTACGTATCTGCTCGTTTGTTAATTTCCGTTGTAAATTCTTTCCGAGGAACTTCAGCGATACAAGTCTTTTCTTAAATAAAACTAGTTTATTCTTTCTCGTTACAAACTTTGTAATACACTTAGTTTCCACAGTCACTTTAAACTTACCTACTTTTATAAACACACGCTATAATTCATAGCGATTCACACACTTTACTTACGGTGCTTACTGCTCGCTTGACTCGATTATCTCTATCTTCAATCTTTCTATCTATTTGCAGTTATATCTCCACTTTATTTGCCAGGCTTATATACTAAAATAATGGGCGCCTAGAACAGACTAGAGTTGCCAGGAAAAGTCAAAATCCTTCGAGAATCTCATGACGTGTTACTAGGGTCACGTGACTTCCGCTGTCGTAACACTGCCCCTTTCTTAATATTGTTTGTCCCGAACAATAGCCACTTAAATTAAAGCAATAGATAATTAACAATAACTTAATTAAATGTACAGAATTTACAAATTTAAGTTAATATTCAGATCAGTATACCAGTTTTGATATGGTTTAAGTACCTATTAGAATATCTGCATAAATGTGTGCGTCTCTCTGTGTGTTTAATATTTAAAATAGTAACTGGCAGATTTTGTTAAACAAAGTTTAACTGGTTAAACTCCAAAAGAATGATGAATCATTGGAAACTAATAAATCTAAGATTTATTATAAAATCACGTAAACTGCAAATGTTCTTTTTTTCTACATCAGAAGAACTTATGTTTGTCATCTTCCATTCCAACTTGAGTTTTGGTACTGAGTGAAAGACATCTTTGGCACGTACTTGTGGCAAAGAAAATATAGATCTGAAATGTTATTTTATTCACTCTGATACATGTTTATTTCTTATTTGGATTTTTTTCCTCTCTTAAAAGTCATTTTTAAAAGGAAAATATATTATAATTTTAGTCTGTAATAAGGTTTATTGGTTTCAAATGCTTCGCCAGCTTTCGCCGTTTAAATCGTAAATGGAATGCAGTTTACGTGATTTTTTGTCGCAAATGTTAGGCCTATTTTGTGTTTAATTAGTTTTCTTTGCATGGTTGTGTTTTTCTTTACGCTAACCTATCCAGCATATGAGCTAGAACTTAATTGACTGACCACGAGGACACCTCAAAGTCCAAAAACTTACTCAAGGCTAAGTAACCAAATGTTCCACAGAACAAATATAAAGCTAGATTTCAATATTTGTTGATAGAAGCAGTTTTGTATAGAAATGATACCATCGATTTATGAGACCAGTATTAATTTCTGTCATTGATAATTTTTCATGACGTTGCAAGTATCTTTGCTCCATTCGATTAACATCAGCTTAAGTTTCAAGATATTTTCATAAATCATCTGTAGGCTACTTTATATTCGGTCTAACACGTGCTATTATTGACCTAAATCCTCATCAAGTGAAGACAGAAAAGGTGAAACTGGTTAAAATTGTTTATTTAAATTAGTTTATTTCTTATTTTGATTTTTTTCCTCTCTTAAAAGTGATTTTTAAAAGTAAAATATATTATAATTTTAGTCTGTAATAGCGATGGTGTTTTCCTAAGAAGGAATCATACTGAAATATCTTAACTAACCTAAAAACAGATGTAAAATGAGATTCGGATCATATGATCTACTTTAATTTTTTTTATCTGTTCTCAAAAACCAGACTTCACTAAAACTGGATACTTTATTGGAAATATGATAGTACTTTACATAACTAATGTAAAGAATATTCTAACATGGTTAAAATATTCAAACGTGTAGTGAATGATACCCCGTTGTTCTCTTCTTAATGTATATCATGCATATCCCTAAACTACTATTGCAAAACCTGTGAATTTAATCATATTTTCAATATTTTTATCTCGACTATAAAATGGAATATAATTTTGGTGTTGTATTTGCATCTGTAAGTATTAGGCCAATGAAAAACTTTATCAAAGTTAGATATGATTAATCAAAGTTTGTTTTACTGTTCGCTAAATAATAAACTGATTAAATATTTATAAAACTCCCGATAAAAGCATTATAGCATTTAGTGAATCATTGGTGGATAAAACATCAATATGTATTTCCATTAAAGTTTCGAAAGGTGTAAAGAGCACATATCTTTATACCGAATGTAACTAACCTAGCTAATTTATTTCTCTAGTTTACTATATCATCGTTATGTATGTTACAAAACCAGCAATTGTGTGTTAGTACTGCCACTTTGAACTGTTTGGTCTCTTTTTCTTCCTACATTTACAGACACTAGCATAGAATAACATTGCTCCATTGCGGAGTTTAAAAGGTTCCCTCATGGTACAGAGGGGTCATAATATAGCGATCAAGCTCCTTCGTGATCCCCAGTTATTTCTGTAGATCTTCTGAAGGAGGTTCGTACCCGAAAACAAACCCCGTTAGAACACTTGCCCAGGGCTTGAGCACGTATTCCACGTTTGGTCTCGCTAGATTATGAGTGGAAGTATTAGTACAGTTTCAAACATAGCGCCTCCTGGATCCCGAGAAACACAAAATACGATGCTAGAATCAGTTTCGTCAACCCTTTAGACCCACATCGTGTCTAGGTGACATGTTTAGCCCCTCTTGGTACCCCTTACGGGGAGTTACTCCATATAAATAAGAACACCCCTGAGCCACCCCAGTCTACAGGCTATGTTTGGTCTTGCTAGTTCCAAAGCTGTGGAAGAAGTTCACGGGCAAAACACACACAGTAAATTAATATAGAATTCATAGGTTTATATGTAGTGAATGGCAAAAAATAAACATGTAAAGCTAAGTAGGTGAGATATATAACTTTTGTTACAATTTCTAAATGTCACACCAGTCCACTTGTAGGTAAATAGTCGCAAAATACTATAAAGGTTACGAGTTCGTGTTACCAGCAGCAGTACTTCTGCTACGTGTCTACACTTTCGCAATATTCAACACATTCCATTTTTTCTCACTTCTCTTACATCGTCCTCTACACAAACTTATCAATGGTGATCCATTTTGATCTTATTAATGTAACATGATCAGCTCTTATACGTACCTTTCTGTGTGAAGATCAAATATGTTTTTTTGTTGTTGTTTTTTTGTTTTTACTGAAGTAAAGACAATGAATGGTTTCACTCTGAGAAACGCACACCCAAGTCAAAATTGTTCACATTTTGCTTTCATACCGTCATACGGCATCATTTTAGACATATTATTATTGGGGTTTACCTTTGGCGTTGGACAGTGTCATTCGCGATGGTGGCACAGTCCAGATCGATCGAGTTTTTAGCTTTTTACGGGCCATTGGCCTGTTTCATTTTATTTAATTTTTAACCTGCTTTACGGGCACTGTTTAGCTTTTAGCTTGTTTCTTTTTACTTTTATAGTAATTTACTTATTTTTGCCTTTTTCACGGTTGTTTGGCGCAGATAATCAAGTTGCTTTGCGCCAATAAACTCAATACAAACAACCAAACGAGAAACGCACAGTTTTTCTATAACGTAGAATCCTACTACTACGAAATATATTTACATTTTAATAAATTTCGTATTTTTTATTATTTTTTAAATCCAAATGCTTTGGTTTTTAACTTTTTTATCTTCACTCAATGAGTAGCTTTTCTATATACAGTAAGGAATTGTGCAAGTCTGATATTGATAACTGTGATGAAAGACTGTCATTGTAGCGCAAGAGTTCAAAGACTGGAAATAATAACGCAAGAAACCGGGTTTCGATACCCGTGGTGGGCAGAGCACAGATAGCCCTTGTGTAGCTTTGTGCATAATTAAAAACAAACAAACAAACAAACTGGAAATGGATGAAACCGTAATAATCTCAGACAATACTTTTACAATATTGAAAATTTTTCCACAGGCCAAAGTTTCATGCCCGCCGAATTACCAGTATCACGTAATGGAAATTTGTTAATCGTAATGGTTAGAGGTGTTGTTATACCACCAAATTATCACATAGAACATTTCTTACGATCTGGTGCAAATATTGAAAATGAAATGACAGTAAGCTAACAAAAATAAAGAAATAATATTTTTCTGTAATCGTAAATTCATCTGTGATCTGTAACAGCGAAGTACAGAGAAATGTTTAAGTTAATATTCTCAAACTTGTCTGATGGCTCTTAAGCTATATATATATATATTTTTTAATAACGGCTATTACAAGCAGAAACAATCATTGCACAACTTCTGTCTGTCACTCAAGTTTTAAATATAAGAGGATTCTGGATATGTGGCAACTTCTAAACTATTTGTCAACATTAAGGACATTAAAACACGTTACGAACTCTTAGATGGATTAGATTACAACCTTATATAGAATTCAGTGTTTCATAACTCTGAATTTGAGTAGCCTTTGCCTTGAACTAAATGTAATCTCCCCACGTATATATATATGTGTGTGCATGTATTTCTCTTTACTAGGAATAACGTGTGTGTATATATATGTGTAGATATCTTACTATGAAGATTGTTTATTATATCTGTGTGTGCGTGCGGGTGTTGATACGGTAACTGGGAACTGTCCGATGATGTACTGGGCTATTTTTTTTTAGAATTTTTGCCCAAGAAGGAGGATGAAAAACATCCTGAAGCAGAGCACATTTCAATTTTTATATACTTTTGGCTTTGAAGTTAAAAACACAAGTACTTAGTCTGTTAAATGAGTCAATTATTACAGTTTTCTTTTCCTTAACAGGTACCCTCATCTAATATATATAAGCACACGCACATTAATTCTAATAAAAATAATTAATAATAATATTATATTAATATTAATAATAATAATATTCTAATAATTACAAACAGCTTGTGTAATACCAATTGTTATGATATTTGAGATAATTAGGGTTGCTAAGCTAAATATAAAGTTTCAAAACACATTTTAACGACAATAATTATAAGTCTTCTGAGCGTTTCATGATGAATGGCTTTACTTTTCTTCTTCTTTAGTGAATTGTAAACTTTTTCTATATATTATGTTTAATTTTCTTAAAATGTCTGAAAAATTCGCGAAATGGTATATGTTAAATTTCTCGTAAAGCTACTCGAGGGCTATCTGCGCTAGCTGTCCCTTATTCAGAAATGATAGGGAAGTCGTCGAATTAAGAATACTCACCGCCAACTCTTGGGTTACTCTAATCGAATAGTGAGATTGATCGCCACATTATAACGAATCCACGATCTGTAAATTGCGAGTTTAGCGTCCTAACCACCAGGCCATACCAGGCATCGCGAAATGAATAGTGATATTTTGACAAGTAAGCAACCTCGTTTTTGTCAGTGCTTTATTTGACTGAAAACATTTGCGATCGTCGAAAATATTCTACTTACCAACAGAAACGAAGTCATTGTCATCCAGAACGTTACAAATCTTGTCGTCCTGATCCAAGATAGCGCCCCCTTTTGTCTTGCGAATTTCGTATATTTCTTCTTGCCTTCCGTTCACCTGACTACTTGTTTGTTTCAACTTCAGGTACCGCCTTAAAGCTTCCTCTCCTAGCCACTGTATGGTGCTCTTCCCATCTCTGCAAGGCACAGCAAACCATTCTCCTCTAACACGAACCGAAAGCTTCATATCTTCTTTGTCTTCCAAACTTTCTCTTCCGATAACCAATACAAAAAGTTAATGTTCTTCAAGTACTTTTGGCAAAGTAGCTGGGAAAGAATGTACGCACTTACAAGTGACGTGGATGACAACTTTTTTAAGCGTCCTAGCTTAGAACTCTTGACTCATTCAATGTTAAAACGTGACCTTATTTACACTCATCGATATTCCTTCCATCACTTCACCAGTTCCGTTGGATAACCAATCACGTTTGTGAACCTTCATACACGCCTCATGAAGGACTAATCAAAACGAGGATTTCATAACTTCTTACTAAATATGTTGCTGACGTGCTGGTCCTCATCTGACCTTTTAATCTTTCGTCTCCCTATTTTGACAAACATACTCGCAAGCTTATTGCGACATTCTGATTTATGTTCAGCCAGTTGAGACTGGTTCTGATCTTGCCCACCAAACTTGACACCATCGATTTACAGAAATAAAAAGTACCGGCAAGTTATTCACTTTCTAGCTATGAAGTTTTTAAAGTAGATTTTTTTGCTCGCCTAAAAAAAAAAAGTTGCTCCAATCAGCTGAAGATGAAGGAATGGCTATGCTTAATTGATCTTGTTTTCAAATGTGCTTCTGGGTTTCTGCGTCCTTTATACAAATAATACACACTTATAGTTACGTGTAAGTGTTTTTTATATATTATAATGTGTTCTTGTTCAAAAATTAGGCTTTTGTTTACTATTACAAATATTGGAGAGATACATTTATGGAAAAAAAAGTCGGATGGACAAATTATATCCACATTTCAAGTATTCGCTAAATCGTAAGTTTATCACATTTTGAAATAAGCCAAACAAGACGATTGTTTGTTTGTAATTAAGCACAAAGCTGTGCAATGGGTTATCTGTGCTGTACCTACCACGGGAATCGAAACCCTGTTTTTGGCGTTGTAAGCCAAACAAGACGAACGAGATCTAATATGTTGTTAGTGACGCTTTGACTGTTTCCGTTGGTTACTATTTCAAGTGGAAATTTGTACTGTTTTAATTAAGTGTATAAAATTAATAAAGAAAAATCTTCAACATTTCTTTGTTTTTTTTTGTTTTGTTTTTTTTTGACACCTTACATCGTGTTGTGGACAATAAAATTTATTCTGTTATTTAAATCTGTCTATGAGCGATAAAAGTATTTTGCGTTGGAAAAATATGTGGCAGCAAGATTTTTCATGAAATGACGTTATTTTAAAACTCTATTTGGAAAAATTCATAACGAATATTTTTAAGCAAAGCATACATTAACTTAAAAAAAACAGTGAAAATTTTCCCATTAGTAATTGTCATCAAATAAGCTGATTCTATGGGTGTGTATATTCAAGGGCAGAGTCTTGTGTAATGAAGACTTGCTCAGAAAATCACCAGATTTAAAGGGGTAGAGTCATGAGAACGAGGACGCCAGATTTAAAAGCGTAGTATCTCGACTGTTAGAACCTGAACATCAATAACATTTCTTCAAAACTACATAAACCTACCTATCTGCTAGATACATTCTTCAATATTTAGTTAACTACTTCAGAAAAAATCTAAACAAAAAGAATATCCTATTTGATCTTGATAAATTTATTATGCATTATAATAATAGGGTTGAATACCTCTTTCCCATTGCATGATAACAATAGGTTAAAATACCCCCATCCTATAACATCTATTCTAACTATCGATCTTTGGCCACCTCACAATGAAACTTATTAATGTGTTAACATTTGACTGTTTGTGTTTAATACGGTTTGTTTTGTTTAGAGTTTCGCGCAAAGCCATACGAGGGCTATCTTCGCCAGCCGTCCCTAATTCATTAGCGATAGACTAGAGAGAAGGCAGCTAGTCAACAACAACCACCACCAACTCTTGGGCTACTCAATGAATAGTGTGATTCACCGTCCCATTATAACACCTCCACGGCTGAAAGAGTGAGCATGGCTATCATGAAAAAAGTTAAAACAACACACAGATGCCGGAACAGGGGAAGGGGCACATGTCTCTAATTTGACCCGGTAGCGAAGTGCCTCTTTGAATGGAGAACAGAGATTTGTGTATAACTATTATGAAAAGTCCTGTTTCAGTCTTGAATG